GCAAGCTAAGGACCTACAGCTCATTTAAACTAGATTTGGTATTTGAGGAATAGGCCTACTTATCTTTTGTGTCCATAGCAGAGCATAGAAGGGCCTACTGCAAGTTCAGAATATCAAACCACAATTTACAGGTTGAGAAGGGACGGTATGCCAGTGTAGATGGGGAAGATAAAGTATGTGCTACATGCCTTTCTGGTGGCATAACAATTATTGAGAATGAGGAACACGTGTTAATGTCATGTAGTTTATATAACGGTGTGAGGGAACGCTATATTCCCGAGATTACAACATTGTCACTAGCGACTGCTCTGTCATCACATAATGTTGACTTTATAAAAAAAAACTTGCGGCCTTCATATATCATGCTGAGAAATTAAGAGAGGTTTTTTAGATAAGTAATTTGTGTCGTTTATGATATATATCCCTGTGTAGTCAGCTCATTATTATTATAAATACAGGTAGAACTCAATTGATGTACTCTTGGCCTGTAGGCCTGAAATACAGTGAAATAAACAAACAAAGAAGCATTGGTTGTGATAAAAAAGTTAACGCTGCATTAAGTGTTGCTGAACTAAATGCATTTTCTCTTCAATAATTAGTTATGAATTTTTATCAATATAATTCATCACACAGACATCTGATACTGATTTTTCCATTCCCTTTACAGGTCAAATTAGTTCATGCACTGTGTGTCTTTCTCTGCATTTCATTAGAATTTCCTGTTTAACTGCTGCTGTATTTTCATTATGTTAATTTAGAAGTTGTAAAATCCGTCATGAATTTGTCGAAGGTCACAGGTATTAAAGTCTAATTGCACAGGTTGGATTTTTAAAACATCTCTGTTACCGCAGTCCTTAGGAGCACCGTGATATTCATAATTTCACAATAAGTTTACATAATGAGCAACAAATTTAGATATAAAATATTTGTGGATTGTTTTTTGGTTACCTACGAATCTCATTTTTCCGATAGTTTGTGCCTTGCTTAGAATTAGTACTGGAAACCTGTATTTCAATGCGGTGTGTATTTATTTATATGGCAATGGTCTTAATGGTATTCGTTATTGTTAAGCATTTGCAAACACTGTATGTACAAAATATTGCACAAATATATAAATTCCTTTCCAACTGTACAATATCATTTGATGTCCGTATTTGTGTTGAGCTCTATAAACAAACGTTTCCACCACCATGTCAATTGTTTTTGGTGTTTTTGCAGTAAATGATTTAAAATCCACGAGGTTTCCTCTTGTTTCATGAATGATTGCAGATACTTGAAAATATCAAAAACAAATGCTATAAGTAGTTGAAATAGCTATAATCACCTTTATTTGATCGGAAAAGTTAATAAAGACGTAACTTAAATCGCCTTTACCTGTAGTCCCCTACCTGATATGCATAAAAGCGTTTAGAAAAGCTCTTTCCTTCAATATGTGATGTGGCCAAACAATTTTCACGGTGCATTAAGATAAACAGTAAAAGAATATCCACAATAAATTCGGCAACCGAGAGGTGCGGCAACATATAGATAATTGCGGTAGTATTTATGCCGAAACATCAAAATGAATAGCCCCGCCGTTCGAGCCTTTTAATCAGATTCAGATCAGATTAACCAATCAAAGCAACGGAAAGGGGGTCACGTCACCTTCCCACCAGGCCATGCCATGTAAACAAAGCAGCATGGTCGGCTGTAATGAAGAGTCTGAGGAGGGAGACGCGAAATCTTCGCCAAATTCTCATCTTTCGTGTTGCATGCACATAGAAGAAGGTAGCTAATTAAGAGACTCTAGATACCATCACACGTGTTCGCTGGGAAA